ACACACACACACACACACACACACACACACACACACACACACACACACACACACACAGAGTGACGATGACCTTACCCTAGGGGCTAAACCAACTGACTGACTAGCAATTTCACACACACATACATGAGATATTGACTCGATGACAGACCAACAGTGCACGCATCATATAAAGACAAGGTCATCAATGTCAGTCACAGATACACGAAATTGAAACATCAAAGCCCAAGTTCCATGCTACAATCATCAATGACAGAACACATCCCTCAACTCAGTAGTGAACATCCCTCTAGTCCTCCTCGTGCCCATTACCATCTGAGCTATCGTCATGTCCACTCTAGTCCTCTCCCCGGGCACGAGTCTCACTATCCCTCTCATCTACGTAGTCACTACCAGAAAGGCCATCACTTGAGGCGGCATCTGAATCGTCGTCAATGATACGAGTGGATGTCGTACTGCGAACTCCACTTGAGGCCTGAGACCTCGTGCGAACACCCACCGTCACATCAGTGCATGTAGTGGTGCCCTGCCCAACATCGTCCTCACCCGCGTCGTTTGCCCCCAATGCACTCATCGCCCATGAATCACGACCCCTGCCTCGACCCCTGCCTGATCCTGAGCCTTGCGGGCGATCACGAGGTCTGCCTGTGCCACCCTGCGATCGTGGAGGAGGTGGTAATGCGTCTCCTTTATCCTCCCTCCTCCTCTTCCTGCCTGCACGACTTGTCTTCACATTATCAACAATTGCTGATGGAAGTCGTGCAGGGAGCGGTGGCATGCCTAATGGACTACGCACAGGAGGGGCAGCCGTCGCTGACGAAGTGGATGCTCGACTCGCGTGCGCAGCCGGGCGTTGTAAAGTCACCGATGGGGGGTGGTGTAGGGAACTGCCAGGGGACACTACGGGAGATGAAGTGCCACCACCATGATGTCCAACTGTCGTCGATCTGCCGAGAAGATGAACACTTGCTGCATCGGGTGATGGTGTGGCGCGTGTGGGCATGGGCGGAATCCCATAGAATGAGGCAGTCGGCAGTCTAACATCACTCTCCCTCCCGCCCCCCCGCTCTGTAGCAACTTGAGCACCCTCACTCTGGATCATACTCTCGCGTGTAGATGCTACACGCCTCCTCTCGTTGCCCCTGTCGTCCATCCGTCGAACTACGCTCTCGTCCATGGTAACGTCCACCTGAACCTCCAAGTTGTGTCCATCCCTCCGCTCTCTCCGGTGTTCAATCCTCTGGTCAGCCCTCTGCTCCGCCCTGTCCTGCACCATCTCATCTACCCTCTGCTCCACCCTCTGCTCCGCACCAAGCTCTGCGACAGACGCTGGTAATGAGTCCGCCCTCTCATCCACCCTCTGGCTCACGTGCGCTGAGGAAACACAACCAATCCTCTGCTCCGAGGTCTGAACCATTGTAGGACGAATGACGTCACTGACCCTACGCTCTCCACCTCCGCCCGCCACCAGTCCATCACCATCCCCGCCACGTAGCACGAACCTCTGGACAACCGACTGAGTGATGCTCTGTGAACCGCCGCCTCGATGTACAACCTGCTCAGCGACCTGCCGCACGTGGTGTGTGTCCTCCAGCCTCTCATCCGCATGATGACCCTCCCTCCCAATCATCTCCTCCTCTGCCTCTCGCAAAATCCTCTCAGCAGCGTGATGGGGTGTTGTAGGAGCCGACGTACGTGCATCAACTGGAACACCCCCAGTATGTCCTCCCTCTCCGACAATCGACGAATGTGGAATGTGCTGACCTCTCTCCTCCTCCTGCCCTACCTCTGTGCCGCTTGTCTCGCCATCCCTGGTCAAAAGCTCCTCAAAATCTAGCCGACCCCCAACCCTCCCCCGTAGACTTCTCACGGTATCCACACTCTGCCCGATGTAGGCGTCGAAATCGGTGCGAGGGTCCGCTCCACCCCACTCGTCCAATAAGTCATGCTGGTCCTTAGGCAATGTACGGCTTGCGTCTCTCCGCTCCTGCTGCGCCTCCATCATCTCTCTGTGCATCCTCATCCTCATCCTCATCCTCCATCGGTGCCTTCCCCTTCCCAAATCGATTACGACCCTCCTTCCTCCCATTCCTCCTGTCGATCTCCTCCCACTCCTCCTCTGGCACCTCTGCGGGGACACTGTCGTCACCATCGATCTCCTCCGCGGGGTCCTCCACCTGGTTCTCCCACACATCAATGTACCGCCTGTCCGTCCTCCTGCTGGCACTGAGGAGCTGCAAGTTCCAGTGAATGAAAACCAGCTTCTCGACACTCTCTGCAGAAAGGCGGTTCCTCCTCTTCATGTGGATGAAATCGTGGGTGGACCAGTTCCTCTCGCAAGGACTGGCCGTGGACCACATACCCAAAACCCTCTTCGCAATCGTCTGCAGTCTCAGCTCCTGACCACCGTGAAGCTCCCACCACATCGCTGCATGCATCCCCCCCTCCGCCGCGTCCTTCACTGCAAACTCGTCCCACCAGTGCGCTCCACTCTTCGGCCAATAGCGAGGGTCCTCGCAATGGAAAGTCCACCATGCCTACCAAAGCTTATGCAAAGAATCAGACTCCCAACCTGCACCCTGACAGCGAGCCAAGTGGTCTAGCGCGCTCTGCACGACTGGGCTGCTGCGGTCCGTCAACAACATGATATCACGACGACGAGGATCCAACAGATACGCAGCCGCATGGGCAAGCTAACGCATCATCCTGCATCTGTCGGATATGATATCCATGATCGCCCTCCTCTCATCCTCTGTCAGTCCAAGTCCCCTGATTGATTGATTGATTGATTGATTGATTGATTGATTGATTGATTGATTGGTGATTGGGATGGGTGGATGGGTGGCGACGGATGTGGGCGAAAAAAAAAAAAAAAAAAAAAAAAAAAGAGCAGAGCGGGGGTTCTGACATCTGAAACGAGGGGAGTCGACTTCGCGGCGAGACGGAGAAGGAGGAGGCAGAGAAGGGGGAGGAGGAGGAGGAGGAGGAGGGAGGAGGAGGATGTCCCGGTAGAGGAGGAGGACGAGGTCCCGACAGAGGAGGAGGAGAGGAGGAGGAGGAGGTCCCGATAGAGGAGGAGGTCCCGATAGAGGAGGAGGGGGAGGAGAAGGGAAAGGCGGAGGAGGGAGAGGAGGAGGAGGAGGAGGAGGTCCCGATAGAGGAGGAGGAGGAGGAGGAGGGGGGCGGGAGGAGGTGGAGGCGCATCCATCCATCCCGACCGACCAATCAATCAATCAATCAATCAATCAATCAATCAATCAATCAATCAATCAATCAATCAATCAA